CCCCCCCCCCATTTTAAGGTATACATCACTTATGATGAAAGGTATCAGACTGAGTGCATTAGAAACTGATGTCCTTTGCCCACAGAAATGGTACCAAAGACAAAATACAGGTCTGTTAGAATAGTCAGAGCTTTTCTGATGGACTACCTTTTACAGTGAGGAAATACATCAGTCTCTATGCTGACTCAATCAGAAGTTCCAATTAAGATAATTTATTGTGTTGACTGGGTTACATGGACAGCTGTTGCTTTGAAACTGGATGGAGGCCTCCAATTTATTTCACAWAGGCCACCAAATTGTCAGAGGGCAGTTACCAACCTGAAACCTACTTGAAACAATGACCTAGAAATGAACAGCTCTGCATCCTTCCCTGAGCCATCCAGTTTCCCCTCAAAAATATTTTAATCTGTCTTCATGTTAGGTTTGTTTAAATCTCCAATATTGAAGTTGAATTCCTTGAAGACTTGTATAAGAACAATTCCAATAGATACTGTGGTAAACCCACAAGCCATTCCCAAAAAATCTATGACTCCTACATTACTCCATTCCCTGAAAAGGATGGCTGAAGCCAGCAGGACTAGGGTGGTAAACACAACGTAGTAGATGGCACCAAACACAGAGGAGTCAAAACACTCCAGTGCCTTATTGATGTATCTGAATTGAATGATAATGCTACATCCTAATACTGCCAGAAGTACCAGACAGAGGTATAGAGCCCTTTGACTTGATGGGTTATTGTGAAAGATATCTTGAGCAGCCAGCCCAATGCCTTTTGTGCTGGGAACAGTGAAACTGCCCAACAGAGAACAAATACTGATGTAAACCATGATATTAGTAGGTCCATGAGCTGGAGCTATCCAGAAGATAAGCAGGAGAAGCATTAGCAGCACTATGCAGAGATAACCCACGAAAACTGGAAAACAAAAAGAAAACAARAAAATAGCAAGGTGAGAACTCTTGGTCTTCTAAGGATTTTAGCAGGCAAATCATGTCCTATCAGTGAACTTCAGGTATACATCACAATTAAGATTTACTATTGAATACAGATCCAAATCACTTAGATTCCAGAAATACTGGCATTCATGACTGATGATGTTGTCATGTTCTTTGGGCAAAACAGATAGTCAYGTAGGAAATGACAACCTGTTGCACATTTGAAGTGGATTTCAGATGGCTTTTTAAAATCTTATTCTTTTTTTCCATCAGGACTATACTCCTTAAAGTCTTCTATGACAGATAGAGGGATAACACCTCATTCATAAACRGTTCGTTAAGGTACAGTGTGTGGATCCAGCAAAGAGCTTAAACATAAAGTTAGATCCCATTAAGGTGAGCAAGATGAGTAGAGGCTGTTAGAACAAACATGAGGCCATATCATTTACATTACACCATCAGTACACAGATAAGATTAGTGAAAAACATGTCATGCTTTACAGTTTTAAAGAAATATATAACCAATTCACTTTGTTCAGATTTAAATGGCAAACTTACACCAAGGCATTTGTTTTCTTTTCTTTCTTTGCAGATTTTTTGAATAGCTGATGTGATTAGGTTTGAGTTTCTCTCACTTAAAACAAATAAAAGAAAAACAATAGTTGGCAGCTTAGCTCTTAAGCAAGAAAAAYAAAACTGGGCCTGGAACATATTAGCACCAGTATGTCTTCCAGAAGCTGGTGAGAAATATGCTGAAATGCCTGCTCTGTCTCAACAGCCTATTTCTACATACCTTTATTGTGCAAAGAAATCTGGAAACTTAACTGGTGTTTAGTATAAACTTTTAATTAAAAAAACGGAGATTTGAAGGAGAGAAGAAAGTCAGAATTTTTTGTTTTGTATAAACCAACTTAAATTGAGATCCTAGATTTATACTTGTCATCTCTAAATAGCAAGATAGACTTTTTCATAATGTTATAAAATTTATTACAAGTTCAACTAGTCATTGTTCTGAGCTTGCTGATCAGGATAATGTTTTTAAAAGTACCCACATTGTCCTTTCTGCACACGTGACTCAATAAATATGACAAGTTCTAAGTAGAGCAGGGCATAGTTTTCTCACAGAAAACCTGTACAGATTTGCTTCTGTCATGTCATGATTTCTTCAAAAGTCAATGTGCCTACCTGGTAGAAGTGGTAAGTCTCTTCCTCAAGCGTGCTCCTGCTCAACCTCAGAAAATCATTATGAATTAATGAAAAAACAAACTACCTGGATTTGTAAGCTTCTCTTCAAGCTCAGCCTGAGTCGTTACACTCTCAGACTTCGGGGAATGGATGATGAGAACAACAGACCCAGCGCAGCTCAGCAAACATCCCAGCTTGCCAAGAATGTTCAGTTTCTCTTTCAGCAAGTAAGAAGCTAAGATGGACCTTTGACAAAGAGRAAGAAAAATAAACATTTGACTACATCCTGTTAATAATGTTCTAACAGTGCTGTGCCATATGAATTTCCCTTTTATAGGAATACAATCAAATGTCAATATTTATTTCTCACTTAGGAAGGATTCATCCATTTGCAGGTTTACTCAATCCTTGACATCTAACCCYAGGGAAAAAACACAAAACAACACAACAAAACAAGATACAAACCCCAACAAAACTCCTAGCCACAACACCCCAAAAAACAAAACCATATGACCCTCAAAAAACAAAACTCCAAACAACCAAAACCTCCCAAACCAGACATCTGACCCCCAAGGCAGACATCCACCCATAGCTGAACTGGTGAGCTGTCACAAAACCCCCTTTTGTAGGTGCTAGGCAGTCATGAGATAAAAGTGGCCTTGGTTACAAAGATCCCAGGGCTCAGCTCAGACATGTAGCTGACTAAAGTATGCAAAAATATGTAGCCTAGGATAAAACAATAGGTTGTAAATAGAGCACCATTAGTGTGCTTCATAGTGATGGAACTAGAGCCACAATTCAGCAGGYAATAGAAAAATCTCGAGGCAATGCACAGCTTTGTTTTTGAAGAGTTGTGCTTTTTCACTGCACTAGCCCCACAACTGTAGTTCAGCTATTCACAAAACATTAATCGCATATTAAGCTCCTTAAACTTACTGCCTTTTCTGTGCCTCCCACAAACTAAACTTTTAAGAAGCTGGGGGCATGCATATGCAAGGGTCTCCCTTGCTTCAGGAATAGGGCCAAATCCAATGCAATGAAAATCAGCACCAATAAACAGACCGGGCYGTGGACAGTGGGGTAGAGAAAGACTGAGACAAAAGGAAAGATCCACATGGTAAGGGAACTGTGAACAAGAGAATAGGTAGAAGAGTCCAGAACAACCACACTGAAGGTACAAAAAAAAGGTTTATCTGTTCCAAATCATAGTGATAGCTAAAGCAGAAGATACTCAGGAAAACCCTTCTTCACCACTGCCTCCCTCCAGCCCAGCTTTCCTGGGGAAAACAGGAATAAGTGACATTATAACACATCATGAACAGCCATAAGCCTGATATTTTCAGTGGACTTCCAGTGAGCACTGAGTCCATCTGATATTTTATTAAGTAGTAAAAACATCCAGATAACAACAAGGAAAGCAAACTCTTACCCAAATGGAACGCCAAGAGCTCCCAAGGGCGTCACTAGCACAGTTGGGACTGCAGTATACGCCAAGAAATTCCCTATTTGACCCAGTGCCACTGTCAAGAGAACCAAAAATAAGCCTTTAAACTCCTTTGTAAAAATAACTAATCAAAACTTGCCCAATACTGTTTGGGAAAGACTGACTTAACTGGAAAACAGATGTTACAATTTGCTTAGTTCTATTAATTTTGCACTTAAACAAAAGGGCTGGAATTCTGCTATTGCTTTTTTGTATTTCTTAATACAGGATTTATATTAGGCACACAAGAGTATCTAAGTGGGCAGTGTAAATAATCTCATTCATAACTTCTCTAAGTTAAACATAAATAAGACTATGAATTAGGAACGCTCATGGATTATACTCAAATATCTCAGTATTACACTCAAATATTTGTATGAGGAGGGGTAAAAGTATACATATAATCCATTGTTTCATCTTGAGAATGTGCATTCATATAAAACAGATGTATTTGATTACAGTTCCTAACAGCAGTGTTACTTTTGGGTGAGGGAAATAAGGACAGTGCTCAGAAATCTTCTAATGAAATACTAAGCACATGCATAAGGGCTCTTCAATACTCTACATCAAATTTTCACACCGCTATGTAACGTCCTAAGTCATTCCAGACCACTGTAAAAAGAACATGTTTGACAAACCACAGTAACAGCCTCAACCTTATTCTTCTTCCCTCCAATAAAAGCAAATTCCAAGATACACCACACTATTGCACATCGCAGCTGTGATAACAGTTTCAAAAAATAAAAGCTGGATGTTTCTGCAAGCACTGGCAAGTTTATAATAGGTCAACATACTTGCATAGTTACAGGGTCTGCAGTAACTGGCAAGAAGCTTGAGATTGAGCACAAATTACATACAGCTCAAATTTCCAGTTGCTGTTAAAAGCCATTATCAGCATTTAAAAACATTTCAAGAATCCAAGATGTCTTTATGCTCAGGCTGGCACTGCCCTCAACTATCAAATGTCGTTACCATCATCCTATTATTTACATCTGCAAAGCGCTGTGCAAACRTTAATTAATTTACCAATTTAGCTCACATTATCAGTAGAGCTGAAGACCTGTGTAACCTACAGGAAATATGAAGGAGACAAACGAACTTGTAAAACTGCAGAGTATGGCAAAATTATACTAATGAAATTCACTGAGGCTTTCTCTGTATGCAGGAGTGAGCCAGAGAGGTTGATGAGCAGCATTTCTAAGACACAAGAGACAGTGGTGGTCTCCCTGCCCCTAGGAACAGAGTAACTCSGTTATCAGCCTCAGGCTGTTTTGAGATATATGCGGCAACTGTGGCATTATCTTCGAGGCACCTGAAGGCATTGGGGCAAATCYTGGATGGAGAAAGGTGCACAGCTGGCACTCTGCTTTTCTGCAGATTGCATACATTTCCAAATTACTCTGATAAAAGGTTGCTTTYTTTGGAGGTCAGGTGTCTTAACTTTCTCTTGGAAGAACTCTTAACAGATGGCACCAGCATCTATCCATAAATTAGGTCTCTCAAGCTTCAGTCAAATGGAACATGTTGTAAGGCAACTGAACTTACTRGAAGTTTTCCTCATCACCATGGAGTAATAGTCCCTTACCACCACAAATGGACCATAATTTCTCCACCAGGACTAATTCATACTGAGTATTAAGTATTAATACTCAGTAATTGTTACTATCTCCCTGGTGCTGAGGACCTTTGCTGCCAACCTTCCCAGCCCTCTCTGAACATAAATTCCTCATCAGATACATCACTGCTGTAAGTCATTACTTCAGTTCTGGAAGGCACACCAAGCTTTAAACTTGATAAACAGATACCAATATCCTTGCAATACAAAGCTTGATGCAGACTGGCATGTCTCCATTAACAAAGAGACATACAAGACTCCTGCAGGTATGTCAGGGGGTTTATTTCAGACTAACTTCAGCCTGATCCCACCAAGTTAAAGTCTTTTTGCAGCTCACATGCATTATGTTCCTAGAATTCTTCTTTCAACCTTGTTTCATTTTAAAGATCAGTTCAGGAGTTCSAAGCCTGCTATGAAATGTGAAATAATGCTAAACCTGTGATGACAAATAGGAGTTTCACTTCACAAGTATATTCCCCACCTGCAATAAAACACTAATGCAGATGTTTTCACTATAAGAACCAGCCATATCTACACTGCTATCAATACCTGCACTGAAACTAATTAATTAGCCAATTAATTAGTTTAATGCTCATTGAAATACCTGTACACATGCTGCAATCACTCTTTTGACTAYAGAGTAAGGAAAAGTGCCTTAGCAGAATCTGCAGCCCTTCCTCTGAAGTCTTCAGTAATCCAGTGGATCCCAGGGCCCCCAAACGGTTGGGCAGCATTATGCTGAGTCAGCATGCCAACACAGAAACACTTATTCACCATCTGAACAAATACCATGAGAACAAGTTGATAGAGTTTATGTGGGTTTTGTTAGTCATCCAAATTCCAAATTCTCTGCTTGAGAAAATGGTGTCAGCTGCTATAATTTCACCCAGATAACTGAGGATATTGCTAATTCCCCAATACCTTTCCCCAAATAGCACCTTTCTCTGCATCCCACACGTGCCTACCTGGSCCTTGCCATTGCTGTTTATGACTGTGTTTCCATTCTGAGTTTGTAATATCCACAAGCAATTCTTCTTGCTTGGTCCCTCCAGTAAAGCTACTGAGGTTTTGTTTTGAAATACCTGCATCTAGCTACTGGGAAAAAGCCAAATGATACCATTCCCTTCAGCTGTTTTGCCTTCATTCAATTCAGTCAGCTCTTTTAAGCATGAAATTGTTTTCTCTGATTCACCAAGATAAGTTGTGTAATAAAACCTCCCTTATTTTAACTCCTTCTGCTCAGAGATTACAGGTGAGAGTCTCATGAGTGATAAACAACAGTGACTGATGCATAGATGTAATTCTACTTAGGCAGTACTGATCCTATCAGAGGAGGAAGCTGACAAAGAACTACTTCAACACAGGTTAAATTAGCTGAGGACTTTCCTCTGAAGCTCTGTCGGCTTCTACACTTGCTGTGAACTTAGTCCTCCAATGGGATCTATCAGTTTTCATTCCTTTTGCATAGTTTTAGGACAACAAAAAAACAAAAATCAGAGACTTACCTTGCTGCCACAAAACCAGGGGGACAACTGAACTCATATACTTCAAAGAAATAGCATCAGAACTTTTCCAAATACTTCACAAAAGACTGGATTAGAGTCTAGAAGTGGGGTATAATTCTAAGCTTGTGGGTAGAACTAGGGCTGATGTATGTAAGAGGAGAAAGCTTGTTGCTCCCCATGCTCCAGATTCACATCAGAGAATGAACTTGGTGCGAGCAGAGTTTACGAAGATATTAAGGGTAAAATTACACTGATCTCATATCAGCACCACAGAAGGCCTCACATTAATCTTGCAGATTAAAAGCAAAACTGAAACTGTATCTATTGAACTAGAAACCAAAAGAGTCTTTTTTTAATTGAGTCTGGTTAAATGCTTTCTGATCTAAAACATAACATGTGCTCAATGAGCCCTTTTGTGCAGAGCGACAATTTTTAACTCAGCTTTGACTTTTATTAAAAAATGAGCCACCCAGTGTAATGCAGAGACACAAACCATGCAGGAACCCAGAGTCAGAGCAGTGTGGGGCTGCCRAGGGCTGCAAGTACCAAACGGTTTGGAAATGTGGAAAGATGTCTGACTCATGTTTGTCCCAGCTCTTTGCCTCTGCAAACACCACCAGACGTGGTAGCCACAGCAAGAGTTCACCAGAAGTGGAATATTTCTAGGAATGGGAATTTCATGACAAGTGAGTGTGAGATTCAAGATGAAAACACAGATTTCCTGATGTCTCATATCACCATTGAAGCAAAGTTCTCTATAAAAGAAAATTCAAACCTTCTAAGATACTTACTTGCAATAGTGCCAGACCACCATACTATATCAGTTAAGTACGAAGTACCTGGAAGTATAGGAAAACGTATTAGAAAAATATGAAATCGCAATATTGGAACTATAAAACAACAAATCTCAAGTTATTAAGGACCTTCATCTTAACCCTATTCTTCAAGGCAACTTAATGTGAGATTAAAAAAAAAGGAGAGAACAATGTTGGATTTGGTTTATGTTTCCAAGTAAGACAATGTATTAGTCAGAAATTCTGGTTTCCAGTTTGAAGTACCTATGTGACACTAATGCAGCATTGTGCAGAAAAGCTTCCAAAATGTCACCAAATGCTTGAGGGATTTAAACATATGAATTAGAACCACTTATAGGAGAACTGGAAACCTATGGAAACAGAACATGATTTGGCTCATCTTAGTTTGCTAATACAACCTCAATGAAATTGTATCAGAAAAATTGTAACAGAGAAATTGTTTTGGCACACAAATTTGGCAGGACCATAGTATCGCCTGATCCTCCTGCATTTAAACATTGGAAAGTGCTACAACTGAAGCTTCTGAATTTCTGACATGGTGCCCCATTTCAGAGAGGAGTAAATACTCTGTATTGTCCTTAGYGCCTCCCAGACTGGAGGGTGATTATTTTCACTGTCAGACTATAAGTTCTTGCCTTGGGAAGTGCACAGGTGGAACCTGGGCACCACCTAAGTCCTGCTTCTGTAGAACATCAATGCTCATGACCATTCCTAAACTAAAGCATGGCCTTCTCTGAGCACAACCTTGGCATCATGTTCTGCTCCTGTATTTTGCTCCTCCTTCTAGCAATACAGCTCTGCATTCATTTGGCAAGATGCCCTCCCAAAAGCCACTGGAGCAGTAGGCAATATTATACCTACTCTGAAATCCCAAATGAAAGAAAAACGCAGTCACTAACTCTGCAGACATGTAAAGTATTAAGTGCTTGGAAATMTCACTTTTCATACAATTGAAAAGAGATGAAAAACAACTAATGACAACGGCCAGCTTTAGAGTGGGCGTAGTAATTTTTTAGACTTTTATTACTGCATTTAAAATAAAAAACACTGTTGGGGGCAGAAATTATAGAAAATATTGACTCAAGCAAGGTAACTTTGCAAAATATTTGTCACCCACTGCTGTTTCTAACTAGACAAGGATGGCTAATTACATCAATACTATATTATTGATTCAACAGAGATGACAGAAGAGACTTGAAGTGCCTCCTTGTTAATTATACAACACCTGCTGAAGACAATGGAAAAAAGACATCATCTGACACTGGCCATCTCAGACTCACAGCTCCARCTGCTGGAGTCAAGGCAGAAGCCCACTGCTTCAAAATGTGAAAGACAGAGAAACCTGGGGTATTTTTCTGGATGCCTCCTCACTGAGCATKCCAAAAGAACATGCTATGAAATGCTCAGCAAGATGCACAAACACAAGTAATAACTTCAAAACAGGAAGTTTTACAGCTGCTAACACTGAGAAAGCAGGCACACGCCCACCACTCACTTAACCCAGTGCTCCACTGAAAGCTCTTCAGGAGTAAGTGGACTCAAAATGGAAACTTCTTCCATCTGCCTTGGKATGCAAAAGTGTTTCTTTCTCTTGTGTTTTCTCATTGTTTCCCTCACAAAAAAAAATAGATTTGTATTCATGATGAAAATGTGATCTCTCTGGACAATAAAAATGAGTTACAGCCATCTTGGAGGGAAAGGGGGACTATGCTTGCRAAACAAAAGTTTGTCTGATGCCCTTAACTGTAAGGTCATTGTAGAAAAAGCAAAACAAACTTTTTAGATCAGGCTGCCAGGTGGCAGTAACATAGTTCCAAGCTTGCTTTGCTCCACTGCATTCACCCTGAACATATTAGATGCAGCAGGCACTGGAAATGCACTGCTGCTTGAACACTAACCGTCTCGAGTACAAATATTTATTTGTATATTATTTGAATATGTACATATATGCACACATTTACATACGTGCAATGTATATAGAGAAAATACCATGCACGTCCTGGTCCCTAAAAAKGACTTTTCGTAAGAAAGAGTTCCTAGAATCTATGGACACATGCTCATACACAGACACCATCACATACAAAAACAAATGGCTATTGACCACAGTAACACAATTCAAAGGTCTCATGAGACCTGTGTTTATAACCTTCCCCTTACATAAACGCATGACAGTAAAACCAAATAAATTAAAAATATAGAAGGATCTTCACACTTGTGAATTTACAACTTTGTTTTGGCTAAACTGTCTATAGACAGCAYAGTCGGTTCCTGATTATGTTCACCTCAGGAAATAATAATGAGGCATGGGATTTCAATATGAAAAATATAAGAAATTATTTCATAATTTTGATACTGGTCTGTCTTTTTTCTCAAGAAGCAGAAATCACCATGTGACTGATGCAACTTGTCGTGTGTGTCTGTAGAAGAGCCGGAATAAACAAGCGACAAGATGTGCTGGTGCTGATCACGGCAAGAAACTAGCTAAGCCACAGAAACTGGCAGTGAAGTCCCACGAGTACATGAGAAAAGAACAACCTGCGTATGGACAGAAGAGCATACATCACACGGGTCCCCAGTGCTGTGTTACAGAGTGACAGACCACCGCGCTGACCATACATCGAGAAGCTGCTGCTGATGCGCATGTTAACAGCCCCTCGCCGCTCTCCATCGCTAACACATCCTGACTGACCCTCACCGGCCGCCTCATTTATCACCTCCCTTGCGCCTCGATCGAGTCAGGGACCTCCGATATCAAACAYGTTTAAGGTGACAAACTGAAGCCGGTTCCCCGCGTCCAGACACCGGGAAAGCGTCCCTCGCTCCAGACGACACGGCCACCCCCGACACAGGCTGTGGTGCCCGCCCGCCCTTGTCCCGGCTCCATGGCAGCCCCCGCGCCTGCTGCCCTTCGCTCCGGGCCGGCCGCCGCCGCAGCGCGGGGAAGGGCTGCGGGGCGAGGGGGAGCGGGGTGCCCCGGGCGGGGGGATCCGGCCGGCACGGTGCCGGGGGCGACGCCCCGCACACCTGGGAGCCTACCGGGGTTCGCGGGGTGCGGCGGGCAGGCCGGCAAGCCCCGGGAGGGTCGCTCCCGCCCGCCGCCACCGCAGCGCCGGGCCCCTACCTCTCCCGCGGGCCCGCACGATCCCCTTCTTCTGCAGGACGAAGGTGGAGCCGTTCACCAGGCTGGAGACCACGGCCACGCTCAAGCCCAGCGACACGGCGGCGGGGCCGGGGCTCTGCGCCGCCCCCTCGCCCGCTGCCGCACCGACCGCCGTCCGCATGGCCCCGCCGAGAGCTGCAGGCGCCGCGGCTGCCCGGGCCCAGCGCTCCCGGCAGCGGCTCTGCGCCGGGACCCGCCCTGCGCTGCGCTGCACCGCGCCGGGGGCGGCTCCGGGCGGGGACCGGCGGCAGCCGCGGCTCCTGGCGCCCGTCCCGCCGGGGATGGCAGCGGGGTGACGTCATAGAGCGGCAGCTGAGCCCCGACGGCGGCGTGACGTCACGGCTCCGTGGCCGCACCGCGCGGCAGAGGCGGCCCCGTGCCGCCACCGGGGGTCCCCGCCTGAGGGGATGCCGGGCGGGAGCGTCCATGGGCGGGGGGCGCGGGACGAYGTGCAGGGGGATGCGGAGAGCAGGGCGGTGTGGAGAGATGTGCAGAGGGATGTGGGAGGAGAGGGGGATCACAGCGGGGCAAAAAGATGCGGAAAGAAAGAGGGATGCGAGGAGACGTGCGGAGGGCTGTGGTCTGCAGGACGGACGAGTCCCGCCGGGCCAGTGTTTCTGGCGTGGGAGCAGCGCTCTCGCTTTCCCGTGAGGTTTTAAAAATTCCTGTCGGCTGCCCTTTTTGGTCCCCCCGAAAACGTGGGGTGTTGCGACGGCAGGGCCAGGCGGGGATCAAGGTTGCCATTACAGCCCCACCGTGATCTGGAGCTGCGGCTCCATCCACCCTGCTCCCGGCCAGGTCGATGTCAGGGCAGAGCTGGACWATCAGCAGGGCCCTGTGCGGCTACACACTGGGAAAGCTTGGCCTCTGCCAGGAGTCATGCACATTGCCTGAAAATTGTGGGACCCATAATCACTCCAGCARTAAATGCCAGAACCTACATTAATTTCCGGGGAAAAGTTCACTCTCTTCTAATGGCACAGGGCAAGGTCAGACACTCAAATTTATGAACCTCCTCTCTCAGCTATCATTCAGCATCTTACAGGTTCTGGGAGGGCAGAACATAAGCCATCCTGCCATCACAGAGAAAGGCTGGAGATCCCTCTACAGCAATACAGCTGGGCCACTGATCTCTCTCTGAGGAACTTAGTCTCCCAAAGATCAAGTGCTGAGCTGAAAGCAATCTTCCTTGYTCAGCAGAAATATTTTGTAGCAGGTATCTCACTGCAGTTGTTACCATTTCCAGATATATGTTGAAATAAATCAATCCATAATGGATTCCTGTGGCAACATCCACCTCAGGAAATGAGTTAGAGTATCCTGGCTTAACATAAATGAAAGTGGACCTTTTTGTAATTTTTAACAATTGGGCATGGTTCTTGGCATATATTTTAGCATTCCCCGGAAATACAAGTTTAGAGAAGAGGCAAATTCCTATAAATATTTAATGTCTGCATATTTTTTGGTTTGCCTACACTACTTGAGGCAGCTCTCCTATGAAGGCACAGGAATGCTGTGATATGATTTTGTTAAGGTTTAATAGCAAGATATATAATACTGCAGTGGTGCCCATATGTTCACCTAGATTGTTTCATCAGGTCGTTTATCAATACTGAATGAGATGSAAGAGAGGATTCATCCTTGTGAGACTCACAGGACCTGCAAAATGAGAACACGGGAGGTGGAAGAACAGTTGTCCATAGCAACCCTTGGAAACAAAGATAGAGGTGAAGACAAATACAGGCTAATTATAAATATCCATTTCTGATCTATATACAGCCTAGTAACATGTACAGAAAAAAATATTACAGGAAATAATTTATGCTTGCACAGTGGAAAATGCTATATATTTAACAGCCTTTGCATCTAGTTATCAGGCAAGTTTCTAAACACAGCTCAAACCTGGCCAATTTTTATACTCAAAATCTCTCTGGTGTGGTTGAACCAAGACAAAAACAGGTACCAGAGATCTCAAGGGAACAATTTATTTCACTCTAGCCATGTCATTTTAATATCTTACTTATAAATCTACTCATATTTGCCTTTCTGAAGTATGTATTTGRATAGGTAATTCTAAATATACTTATTCTGCCTTATTCAGTTAGTTACTATTGCACTTGCCATATAATAGGTGTAGTGTTCCTAAGGATTAGTCATAGACTAAAATAATAAGCACAGCACTGATAGATATTAAATTTGCAAATATCTTGAAAAACAAAGCCTGAATTCACCTGCTATCTGCATTATTAAGTTTATGACCAATTTGGATCAAGACATGAAAGTACCTCAATGAAAYACCTGTTATCATTAGTTGAATGGAAATTAGATGACCCTTTAAAAACTATGACATGTATACCACATAYAAACTCCTTAGGTCCATCTAGTCTTCTGGGGCTGAGTTTCATTGTGATAGCATCATTCATCCTGCCCAAACTGTGTCATCATGTATTGCAAAACAGCACATTTTAGGTTAATTTGGCTTGGACCTTGCAATGCTCAGTATTACTGATGTCATATTAGCTTGATGTCTCATGAACACACAAATTGCATAGGAGGAAGCTCAGATTTACACTGCATTTACTCCAATAAACTCCTCTCTCCTCCATTAGCATGTGTGTTTAGAGTCAGYCAAGAGGTAGAAGTATTTATTAGACTTTTGTAGAACTCTTGTCAATGGAAGGGATGAGTGATGGAGTTAAATTGATGTTAGAAGTGAGTGAGCAAAATTGGTAGAGGTTATACCATTTTATTGCAGGGGCAATGGATCTTTTCTGATTAGGATGTTTTTTCCCCTGATTTTAGAGGGAAGAGAAACACTTGTGCCTGATATAAAAGAGTGTATTGCTTCCTCTGTAATGACTTGGGTTCCTCTGTTACGTTTGGTTTATGTGTGAAAAAGATTTTTTTTTTTAAAATTAAAGCAGTTGCTGGGCTGTTTTATTGAGGCCAGAGGAAAATCAGATAATTCTGTATCTGGCATAGACTGAGAATACAGTAACTGAGCGCAGAAGATAATCTGAAACTCCTTATAAAAGAGCTGGGAGAGCAGGGTGGAAGTTTACCAACACCTCTATCAGACCCTGAAGCAACAGCAGTAAATCTCCTTGGCAGAAGCATTATAAAGATCCACTGTGCCAGCCACTGAAGCAGTAGGAACTGAGACTGCAAACTAAACAGCAAGAAGACAGTGGCAATCGTACTTTGCCAGCTCTTGAGAACCAAAGGCAGTAAGGTAAGGACAATTATTAGAAGACTTGTGTAATGGTCCACTGAACCTAGGCCTGAAAAAGACTTAAAAGTCCTTTTTAGGGAGTCTAGATCAGTTGCCTGGAGTATAAAAAGTGGTTTTGGTGTAAGTGGGGTATCAGTGGTATGTATGGTCCTGCTTTGACGAGGAAGCGAACTTGAACCTTTGTTGTAGTCCAGCCCTTGATTTGCTATGGGGATCCACATCTATGGATGAGAGAATGAATGGAAGCCTCCTGAAAGATTTTGCTCTGCAAAGATGGGTCCTGTCAGCTTTTTGGCTTTCTATTCTATTATCAAGGACTTCATTGAGTCTATGGGCCCATATTCAGGCTTTTAAGGTCTGCAGTGATCTTTGTGAAAGAAATTGTAGTGCTAAGCTYTACTACACTGTTGACAGTGGACACACTCACAAGAGTGGCTCCTCTGGAGCTGGAACTAAAAATTAAGCTCAGCCTTGATGTCTGAATTTGATTGTCCGAGACTGCAATGAAATGCTGCCTTATATCCTGTATGCAATAATGAGCTCACACGAGCGTCTGTGGCCTCTTTGTCCTATGGGTTACAAGAACTAAGGTATCCCTTGATGTACCAGCTCTTTTCAAGGACAGGACAACAGGCTGCAAATCAACACGATTCAGGGCAGTCTTAAGTGGAAAAAAGTGAGGGGTGGGTTCAATTTTTAAAGGGTCCAAGGTTGATGCGAAGGAGTTTGCTAGTGAAGTAYGGTGCTAAAAGCCTTGTCTGAATGAGTAATGGAGGCTTGCTGCCACTTTTGCCCATGGAAAACAACTCTGCTAAATGGCAGTGGCCACACATAATTCTGGGGGTTTGGAGAACTTCAGCGTCCTTCCTTCAGAGGTGGTCCAAGACTGATTTTGGATTATTGACATGGGAGATATGGCAAGACTGCTGCAAACAGACAATACCATTTCAGCTTTTCTGCAAGGAAAACAGATCTCTTCAGAGAGAATCTGTCCTTTGTGCAGCAGGCAGAAGTTAGACARCTAGTTCTGATGTGTGTGCATGATCATGCTGCAGAGAATCCACATTAATTAACATCATGTCTGCTCACATTTGCTCTGCAAAAGCTTCCAGAATCCTCTGTGACTAGGGATCACAGAAGAAGGCAAAGATTTCCCAGTTAATCTTGTAGCAGATGCTATAGTTCACCTACATTAATTGCAAACTCTGACCAGGACATACTTTTCCATGCTGATTTAAAGAAGTTGAATACACAGTCTTAATGTGATAAGTATAATATATAATATTATAATATAATGTATATGCAGCTCCTTTCCCTCCTTTATTAGGAGTGTGGTGAAAGCCCAGCACACACTAGTATTATAGTATGAACCTTTAGAGCTGGACTTCCAAGGCCAGCTCTTCCAAGGCACAATCATCCTAAAGTTCCCCCAGCTTTATTACAATCTTTCATGTGCAGAATTTGCTTGTCTTTCCCATACATTGTCTGTTGCAGACATATGAATCTTCTGTTTGAGCTAAAGGGAGTTCTAACCCATGTTTCAGACTTACAGATGTTGTCTGTATGTTATTTTAAGCTTTGACATGGTGATCTTTGTTGCTTCATAAGCTGCATACCTAAATAATATGTAGTAATCATTGAATCACCTGTGGTGGAAATCTCTTCCTCTTAAGTTAGCCAGTTGCTGAATTCCATGAATTAAGACTACATTTTAGGGTATACCTTGGATCCTAGAAGAATTAAAATTTTCTCAAGTGAGGAACATTGAAGGCACTCCTATTAATCAGTAAACTCACTTGTCAGACTTGCTGGGTAGTTCTAAGTATGGATTTTCTACTACCTTATTCTTCAGCAAAACATCTTTTCTAGCAAACACCTCAGGGAAYATTACAGTCAGCTGCCTGCTCAAGATCAGTCTTTGTACCCTTCAGTACATCCTGTACTCCAAAGCTGGAATGTCATGATAAATTTTATTTTTATGTGGATGCTTTTGAATGCGGTTTCAGTGTTCAATATTGTTGGAAAACTGAAAATGCATTGCAATGTATCTGAACTGCAATTTTTTTTCTT